AGATAAAATATAGTCTCTACTAATAAATGTTTCATTTCAATTTCCTAATTAATAATTGAGAGGAAATTTGGTATATCTTATCAAATTTGGAATATAATACGGAAACCCTGTATGATGGGGAAAAAAATGTTGAAACGAAGACCATAGGGGGAAAAAGGAGGTATATAATAGACAAAATTCTATATTTTGCTGTAAAAACAATGTTATCATCTGGGGGGGAAATGGGGAATGCGCAAAAAGATAAATACGATATATTTTTTGCCTCCAATACGCGGCTTGTTTTCCAGAATATCTGCAGACAGTGTACATTATTTTCTTTATAAAAAAATTTCAACAAAGTCGGTGGTTTTTGTAAAAATTAATATTTTTGGAAACTATGACTTCGTGACAAACCTCCTTTTTCCCCTGCGGTCTTCAACCTTAAACTTCTTCGATATTTTCAAATACTTAATACTGAGTGAACGTAAAATTCCCGCCGCGACTCGGGTTTTGCGGAAAAAAGTGACTCACCCTGTATATACCGTACAAGTCACCACTGCATAAGCATGTACCTTAGAGCTAGTTAAAGCGATCGTGCAGCAGAAAAAATGCGTGCCCTAAAGCTAATTTAGACTGAAAATACCCGTATCGAGTGCAGAGGTTGATTACAATTATTAAAACGAGAGACGAGACGGTCGGTCGAACCGGGGATCACGGCGGCGTGCAGGGACTCGGTCGGCGGCGGACGCGCGTCTTTTGTTTCTTCCGCCACGGCTGCCGCAGATCGGCAATGTCAGTCATTGTTCGCGGCGAGCGCCATACGACGCTGGGCGGCTACATGGCGGCGGGGGGCCCTCCCCGGTGGCGGCGGCGGCGGTGTCGTCGGAGCGGTGGTGTGCGGCTCGGGATCTGCCCGGCATCATACTGACGGGCCGCCGCAGCTCCGGCGGCCCGGGCGTCGACGGCGCCGGTCCGGGATATCACTCCTCTTCGGCGCGGTTCTTCTCTGTCGGGTTTTTTATGGGAAGATTCGCGAGGACGGCGCGCGAAAACGCGTATTTTTACTTTCGGAAGACGCCCGCAGTCTAAGCTTCGCACTTTATTTATAGCTGTTATTAAAAATAAATGCGGAAAGTGCCATCATTAAGCTGGCACCGGCAAAACTACTCATTAAGAAGATCGAGGATGATCGCAGGAAGTCTAGCGTCCATTCTTGCATTTATTCCGAATAAATTTTATCTTACAAAGTTTTAGTAACGCTAGTAGCGCTAGTGCTGCTACATACTGGTGATTCCCAAGACCGCTAAAGAAGTAAGTTGCCTTCAAATGTTGACACTGACTCGTCCAATGGCATTGCTGCACTTTTTAGGCGGGAATACGTCATCGGTATATCAATTTGATCTCCAAAATCTAACTCGACATTCAATATTCCGGAGTGAAGCCTTTTTCCTCTATCTTGAAATTGAAAATAAAACAGAACATAACAAGATGAAGATGTCCGCCACTACGTAGTCTAAACTTTGCACTTATAGAAATAAAAGCGCCTTCATTGTGCCAGCACCGACAAAGTTACTTATTAAGACGGGAAATCGAAGGGTGCTTAGATCATGGATGACCGTGTGGAGGTCTAGCGTATATTTCTGCATTTCTTTCGAATAAATTTAAAAACGCTATCCTCTCTACATCGATATAATCGATTAGTTGGCGCTGGTGCTGCTCATATCGGTGATTTCCAAGGTCGCTAATCAAAGTGTTTAATTTTTATTATTTGCCATTCTTAATAATTACATTTTTGGTAAGAAATTCGCGTTACCGACGCTTATTATCGATTTCTCCGCACGCGTTCGCCTATAACTATTACCTCACTCTCGTGTAAAAAAGCAAAAATTCCCGGTAGCCCTCGTCAACCTTTCCGTCTGCTTTTAAATCGTTATCATCTAAATATCCGTAAATATATTCCGACCGCCTCTAGCCACTTTCCAGGAAGTATAAATACCCGACAACTCAACCGCGGCGGGCGGCGTGTCGGGAGAAGCCGACGTGGCTCGCGTTTACCCTGAATCCGAAAGTGGGCGGCACGCGACCCCTATTTGACCAGGTCGGACGCAGAGGAAGGTAATAAAGTAATTGCCGAGCGTAATGAAAATATATTAATAGCGGCATGGGCGGAGACCGAGAGGGTACGAGTACACGGTTATAGTCTTTCCGATATCAATTGAAGAACCAAGAGGATGACAGTATGTACCAGGTTCGGTCGCTGACGCAGCAACTCGGCACTGAAATATTTAAAAAACTTGTTCTTTGGCCGTACCCATATACAGGTCTGGTCAATCTAAACGTGGAGGAGGTAGAAATGTATACGCCCAGTTGAAGAATGCGAGCGCGGACAAACGAAATACAAATACAGTTGCATTGGGCTACTGGGCAATAAATCTCAGCCGTTGACAAGTGGTCGACAAATCGCCCAGCAGTGCAGTGCAGCAATGCGGAATTTGGTGTGATTCAGGTAATTTTAATTCACTATAGGCACCTTCTATTATTTTTTTTAATTGTCAGTGTTGCGAGAAACAACTACTCCGAGGGCTATATGTCCCTACCGACATTGAATTATACTCGCAACACCTAGTGTCGAGATTCAATTAATTCTGTACCTTCATAAAAAAACATCAAGTACTAACGCCCAGTTGTGAAAAGTCTACTAATCTGTCTCTAATTTATCTTCTTTAATTTTAAATGTTCTTTGACAGTTGATTTTCAGAGATGTGTTTCGAACAATGTTAATGATCATTGTGTACGTAGTACATAGTACTGTTTAATTTGTATAAGTTTAATTTCCCTTTTTTCAAATTGTACTTATTACGCCTATGGAAAATGGCCACTGGAAAAAGTTATTACTCAAACTAGGCTTCATTATTAAAATAGTGCCGTGGGACGGAATGTAAACATTTATCGCGGCAACACATGCGAAATTTCGCCGGTTTTTTAATATTAAAAAAGACACGCCGCGTTCGGAATCCAGTTAAATCCGGATACAAGTCTTCTGCGTTGTAGACGAACACTATTAGCATATAATTTGTACAATGTTGTTCATTGTAAGTGTCCTTAGGGGATAAAAAATGCATACATAAGCGCTGCTTCACTGGTTTTAAATTTTTTATATTAAAAAATGAATGTGTTGCAGTTCGATAAACCCAGTGTTTTATAAAACACCTAGATGTTTTGTAAAACGCCAAAAAGTTTTATAAAACGAAAAAATGTTTTATAAAACGCCAAAATGTTTTATAAAACGCCAAAACGTTTCATAAAACGCTGAAACGTTTTATAAAATCTTAGACATTTTATAAAACGTTTAGACGTTTTATAAAATGATGAGCCAGATATAAATTGTCGCAAGTTTTGACAATTTGTTCGCCTTTTATAAAACGCTTAGGAATTTTATAAAACGACTCGTCTGAACTTGAATAGCTTGAAATTAATTTTTTGCGTTTCGCTGCACCTTCGAAAAATCCGTGTTCGTTTTTATGTCCCCGGTGCATTTTATTACCGCTGTTACGGGTGCTCTTTAGGCTTTTTCGAGAATATAACTGATTGTTCATGCTGAAAAAAGTCGTATCGGTATACACCTCCTGATCTCCGATCTCCGCCCTGTTCCAGTCCAATCGCGGCTGAATGTCAGCGGGTCACGACCTGCCCAAGGCCCGGATCGGAACAGGGCACCCTGGATTCGGGTTTGCGGTATTTGCGCCAAGACGTTCCCCCTTCATTAGGGCTCTGTGCACGTCTTCGGCCTCTTCCTGGTGCCTTACTCGAGGCCCGAGAGCCGCAGGGTCGGCTGTGAATTGCACGCAAATGCGAGGATCGGCAAAAAATGAGGAAAGGGTGCCAATTGCGATGAAATTATTCATTTTCGCGTTTTCAGAATGAAACCACAGTATTGGAACAAGTATACCGTAGATTGTTAATGAAATTATCGTTTTATCCATGAATTAGTTTGGTGGAGAAGGCACCGATTTCATTAATTTTAACAGATGTGAATAAATAAATAATTGTAACTACAAATTATTGCTATTGTTTACTTTTCCTTTCAATTTGTTGAAAAAACCCGATTTATTATTATCACATAACAACAAATTACTAAAAATTTACATCAAGTACAATATTTACAACTTTGAAATATTTTTTTTTTTTTGGAATCTCGCAAATTTTACTTCAGTTGCAGCGCAGAACTTATTTATTCTTTATTTCATTGTTCCTGTAACACAAGAACTGTTTAGAAACATGTGTGGAACTGGTTTGTAGTCAGTTCTAACAAAACAATTTTTGTATTGAATCATTTCGTGCCAAGTAAGATTCCTACAGAAAAAATGGTATTAATTAAAAAATAGTATCGACTCCATAAATTACCAAACAAATTCTTGCGCGAAATCACTGTTAAACGAGCCATGAAAAATTGAATTGGTATCACCAAAAAATTAACAAAATATTTAGATTTCGAGAAAAAAATGTTAGAAGTTGTTACATTTAAAGTTAGTGTGACTATTAACGTGTATCTTAAGTTTTTCTACAAGTTTTTTATTTAGTATTACTGTGGTTTGTGTAGTGCTCTTATTACTGTGGTTTGTTGTTTACATCAGTCTCTTCAAATGTGTGTATAGCAATGCAAAAATGGTTTTTTGATCAAGCAAGATCAAATTCGTATCGACATATCGCATGAATGCTTTTCAGTACTTCGAATTTTTCCTTGATTAAAATACTAATTCACATTTAACACCAGGAGGCAATAACAATTAAAGGCAATAATTGTAGCAATAACTGTGACAAAATTCCTTTTATTTTTTTATTAATTTTTTTCCTTTTTTGAACTTTTACCTACAATATTTCCACTAATCCACTACTATAAATCCCATATTTTTTTTTATGGATAAGTTACTGACTCACAATAATATTTCTGTGAGGTCAAACATTTATATTTCGTTACAATGACTTTATTTTCAAGAAGAAAGGGAATCGTGCACACTTACCTTATCAGAATCAGTGGTGTTGCCTGAACCAAACGAGGCAAGCGAGTTACGATCCAAATTTTCTACACTTTCGTCTAACGAGTTGCATTCCTCCATATCCCTGAAACGACAAATTCTCCGTTAGTTCCCACATTTTAAATCGTTGTTAAAACCACGACACAAAACACTTTGAAGTTTGTTCATAAACAAAACAATTAGCTTCAAGCTATTATTCCTACCTGCTGGATCTCTGGCTTTGGGGTTTGAGCTTGGCGGGGCTCTTGGGTAGAGACAGGGGCAGGGCCCCACTGAAGTAAGTTTCCTGAATGACTTCCCTGAGTTTCTTCACCCACAGTTGTTTGGTGTCGAGGGACGAGGCCCTCAGCACGATCCGGTAGTCGGAGATGGGGGCCCTACCAGTCCACACCGCGAACTTGCACTCGTCCCCCTCCATGTGTTCTGTTACCCCCAATTCCGAGGTCTGGAAAAATTTAAAACATGTCAGAAGCAAGGATGTTGGAAATTGATGCTATTTTGATTTTAATTTTTTTTTAAATCAAACTGTCACATTTTCTATAAAATTCAATGTACTCCAATGAAATTTGGTGAAGTTTTTGAGAATGTTACAAAGTTTTGTTAGTTTTCTACTACCTCGTACATGTCACTAGCTAGGATCCTCTTCTACGAAACTTTAAGTTTAATGGATAACATTTTTTGAGGTTAAGTATCCACATATAATGTAAAATTTCATGTTTCTCAAAAAAGTACTCCGGCTGAATTTACTGAAAATATGCAATTGCTTTTAGAAAAATTCGTGAAACACAAAACTGTTATGTGAAAAAATTGTTGGATTAAATTTTTATTAAAACACATTTCCTGACAAAACAATCCCTTAAAATCTTTTCTATACATCTTAAACAATATGATACATTTAGATCTCCCACTTTAAATAAGCGGTACCTGTTTTACCGACCACGTTAGTTATTTGGGAGTAAACTACATTACCGACAAACAATTGAATGTTTGCCTTGGCCAGAGACATTGGGGGAGCCACTTGTCTTTCAAATGTCAGTGATGTTTCAATTTTACCACAATGAAAACTACCTTCTTGTATTACATTGTGATTGAAATCTGACATCACTGATGTTTTTAACACTCCCATAAACTTACATCTACCGAATTTCAAGGCAGTATATTATATTTTGTAAAAGATAAATCAAAATTTGAAAACGCAGTTTGGAAACATAGACCGACGATAACAAGAATAAAGTGAGAACATAAAATTTAAAAAAAACATAAAAATTTAACATTTAGGAGTCATGAAAACTCTCCATTTTTATTAACTTTTTCAAGATGTCACTTACCATCAACTTATTCTTGTAGATGTACTTGACTTTGCCGGCGGAATCTTTCACTTCTTTGGTAAACAAAAGGTACATCTCGAAGAGAAAAATATGCCTATCCCTGCCCTTTCTAATGAGTTGTTTGGGATCCCAAACACTGAAAGCGTCTTGCAAGACGACCTCACCCAATTTATCCGAAGATACGTCACAACCCTCGAGTAGAGACAAGTGCATGGCGTCGTTCGCCTTTTTCGGAACGTTCAGCATCACCTCCAGTCCATCCTAAAATAACAATAAAAATAATAATAATTATTAAATCGTTTACGCAAAAAAATACAGACCTTAATTTCGCCCTGACCCTCCTGACAGCAGCTCTGCAGGTCCTTCAACAGCAGCTGGTACTTGGTGATCCTCTGCACGGGCTTTATCAGATAGGCGGCGATGGGGTGCTCCACCTTGTGCTTCTTCTGCAGTTCCTCGTAATAATTCCCGCCGTGCTGCACCAGGAGGCTGTTCGACTCGGGCTTGTTCTTGCAGTAGTGCACGTACATGTCGAACTTCTGAGCCCACGTCACGAAGCAATGGCCCACGTCTTCGGGCATCGTCTCGTACTTCTCCAGCTCCTTCAGGAAGATGGAGTTGTGGAAGTTGTAGATCTCCTCCATGTTGCCGAAGATGACGTCCTCTTTGCCTTGCAGGGCTGTCGGGCAGGTGGACGTCCTCATCTCCTGTAGGAAGGAGTTTATGCAGGTCTCTAGGTCCTTGACGTAGGTCCTTTCGGTCTGGAGCAGTTCAGCCATTATAAATCTGAAAAGAAAGTGTTTTGTGTTAGTCGTACAGGGCCTTCATGAATGATTACAAAGCCACGTGACCTGTAATTTTGTTTAGAACCGTAATTTTACGTTGGCAATTAAATTTCGGTAAAACAGGGCTATAGTCCGCAGAGTAGTTGTTTCCCAGAATAATGATATTAATAATTTGGGCAGTTTTAACAAAATTCAACTGAATTTTACAAATTTGCAATTAAAAAATACTATATTTATATTTTTTTATTTGGCTTACTCTTTTCTTCTAGCAGACCTCCTCTTTTCTTCGTTCAACTCCTTGAGCTCCTTGGCGGCAGCTTCTTTCACCTTCGCCTCCAAACTGGGGTCCGAATTCCTATCGATGGACAACTCCTTCTTCTCGCTCTCCTCTTCCTGTATACCGAGCGTCTCCTCCAGCTGTTGCCTGTATTGTTCCATACGGGAACTGAAATCCTTGTATCTGTTGTCCACCGCCGCCACCCACTGCTTGATGGAACAGGCGTGGGCGTGACCCTTCTCGACCAAACTGTCGGCCAGTTGGATGAGTAGCTTGACTCGTTCCCTGGTTTCCTTGGCAGTGGCTTTGAATTCGTTGTGTTCTCGAAGCAGGCTTTCCGTCTCTTCTATGTTGTTGCCGAGGTTCGTTGCGTGGGTGGTGAGATAACATTCGCCTGGAAGAAGTGGCGAAATATTAGTACAGATATATAAAAATATGTGACGAAACGCAAAACTTGAGCTTTAATGATTTAAGACAAACAAAACATTCAAGTACACTGTAGGATGTGGGTTAGCATCATTTAGTCGTTGCTCTCCGGCTATAATTACATATCTATCATCTAGGGTCTCAACTGAGTTGGAAACCTTATCATAAGTAACGGTTGAGTTAAAAACAGCTTATTGGCAAATATACATCACCTTAGGATATATCAGAGCTCAAGGACCTACCTGTTTCATGAATCCACTCTATAGCCTGCTTTGCGGATCTTTCAAACAAAACAAACTGCTGGCACTGGTCCAACCTCTTCTTCCTCTGAGTCCAGTGTTCCAAGACCTTGTTCTCCTGGCTCAACAGTTTCTCCAAAATCCCTTTCACCCTCGTCTCGTGGTTACTGCTCGTGTTGGGATAATTGTAGAACTGCAAACTCCTGGTGGTGTACTTCAAGAAGGTCTCGGCAGTCCTCCTGGCAAGAGTACAGGCCTTCAAGAAGGCCTCCTTCTGTTCCTGGTGTTTATTTATCAACTGGGAGATCGCGGTTGCCTTATCGACGTTCTGCTGTCCGGTAGAACACCAGTCCTCATCTCTTCTATATTCTCTTTCTAGGCTGTCTAAGACAGAACAAACTTGTTCCGCTGTCTTGTAGAAGTTCAAGCTGGCCGTTACGAGTTTATGTCTTTCTTCCGCGCAAGTTACGAGTTGTTGCCATCTCTTGGTGACCTCTTCGGAGATGTCCCTGATGCTCTGAGGGTCGTAGTGGTTGCCGTTGATAAGGGCGTCAGCTCGATGTTTGACCTGGAAAATAATGTCTTTTCAATCTGTTCATACTATTTCATTTATAGTGCTGGCCGTAGATTAACGTATTTAAAAAGTTTTTTGCACTTACTTGTACCGCAGAGGTATGCGTCTTCTCTATGGCAACTTGGAACTGCTCGTGCTCCTTCTTCAGCAGCTCGGCGTCCGCCAAGCTATTGGGTATGGTAAAACTGGCCATCAGCATCGACTCCCCATTCCTAATCCAACTTATGACTTGATTGGCGTCATTCTGGAACTGCCCCAACTGTATGCACTGTTCCAATTTCACTCTCTTCACTTCGGCCAGGTCCTCCAGGTCCATCTCCCTGTCGTGAAGGAATTCTAAAAGCACCTGAACTCTAGTCTGGGCGTTGTATTGGGCGTCGGCCATGACGCAGATGCCGGAATTCTCAAACACTTGCACTAGTTCCTGCCCTTGTTGCAGGACCTGGTACGTGGTGTTCTGCATCTGGCTGACGCTCTCATTGTGGAGGCGTAAGAATTGTTCGGCTTTGGCGATGTCTCTGGTCAGTTCGCTGTGTTGCAGTTCCTCTGACCACATTTCCAGTTGAGAGGAGACTTCGAGGGCGTCCCTTTCGAAGAGGCGCAACCTTAGGCACAGGTCGAGACGGAGTTTCCTTGCGGCCCAGAGCTCCTCCAGGTCGTTTCTTTGTTTGGCCAGGCGGTCGAGAGCTGATTCTACTGCTGAGACGGAGCCAGTTGAGTCCATTTCACCAATAGACCTGCACAAAGAATTTGTTAGTAATTTTAATAATACCATTAAATATTTATTTATACAATTATGGTTTGATGCAGCTTTTACGTTTCATCAGACTGAACAACTAATGATTTTTTCAACGTTAATGATTCTTTAATTCGACAGGCTCACTTATGCGTTGACGAATGACGTGGCAACATTAATTAAATGAAAAGGAAAAAAGGGGCTGAGTGTGATTTTATAATTATTTGAAATTGTTCTTAAGAACAGTAGCTTAGCTTAAGATTACGGTGAGATATTTCTTCTCGATGCCAATGTTTTATGGAATATTATTACATATTACATAGTTTTAATAATACAAGATTGTGACAGTTTAATTCTTTATTGGTCCATAAAACTATGTCACAGGTACCGAACAAGACGAAAACGGAGCGGCGAAACGCCTATACTACTATGCAATCGCTCAATATACAATCAGAACCCCGTAAACGTAACGGCGGTCCCATAAAACAAAAACCCCTTAGCGCTATAATCTCTCTGGATGAGGCGATTAAATGGCATATCCGAGCTCGGCGAAAGAAGGTATAAAACAACATTGTGTCTACTCTATGTCACAAATTATATGTCGTCTGAAATGTTTCCTTCCTGTTAGATTGTTTCTGTTTCATGCGCGACGATGCGAAATGCGGTACAACTTCGATGTACTCTATTATTGCAACTGGAAACATTATTTTACCGAAAATACCAGACATTTTTTTTAGGTAAAAGAAAGTTTTTAATTATGTAATTAAATTAAACTTAATTCTGTGTGCTGAAGTTTAGTAAAAATTAGAAACTAAGAAAAATTTGTTGAAGGTACACCCTTAGCTTATCACACGTTCCGCCACTGTTTTAGAACCACTCGCGGCCTTCATAAATAATGTATATTTCAGCGGTGTCACTTCTACAGGATTTATGGTACTTCCTGACGCGAGACATTTTTTTAAACAAAACCCTTACGCTCGTTTTTTGAATGGGGACATTATTTGATGCAGTGCGTTGATCCCGGATTTCCATATAAAAAAGTTTTCCTGATTCCGGAAAACGCGGAAAGAACGTCTACTTTACGTAAGTAAAAAGAAAACGCGTTTAGTGGATTTGACTCAAAAATTTCAATTTCCTTTTAATTAAAAAATGCACCATTGACAGTGAACTGTAATTTTCTCGGGTCCTGTGGGGCCGTTGCCCGGAATCTAATTTAGATATAATCGGTAGATGCAGTACGTACAGAAAAAGTTGAAAAAGCCAGTGGAAATAGCGGTACGCAAGAGATCCCTATCGCTCCAGTGGAAACTAAAACGAAATGTCGTCTGTGACCGTTTGTTAGTATCACCAGCACGATTTTAAGATAAAACTTAAAATAAAAATATAGTTAAAATGGATATGGAATTATAGAAACGTTTTGATGTAAAGCGAAAGATAAAGAATTATGAGTTCGTGGAATGACAGCACTAAAAATGACGGATAGTTCGCGTTACGGATTATATTTGAAGAACCACATCAAATATTGACGCATCAGGTCACTTTCCTTTTGACTACTTAAACCGTGAGTCAATCCAATCATCCCAAAACGGTTTACAATGTAGATTCTTTGTTTTGAATGACAAATTACTTAAATATAATAACCTGTTTCTTTGGAAACACCAACAAAGAATAAATTTACATTAATGGCTAACAGAATTAAAATCTATATGCATATTGTGAAAAAATTATTAGAACCCAACGCGTTCTTTTCTCAAACCACTATTAAAACATTATCAGCTACCAAATAACTACCAAGTTCTCGAAAGCCGGACATCTTGTAAATTTGTTGCTATCTCGAGTCTCGTACAGTACTGTAACGATTCTCATGTTACATCAATTAAACGGATAAAAGACAATTAACGCTCTTAAAATTCCATCAGAATTCGCATTTTTAAAAAGCTGAAGAGACAGATATCATTCAACCCGTTGTTATTGCTAGTCCGACGACTTTAACGACATACATCAACGAAGCGATTATTAATTCTCGTCATAAAAACGACATATCTTCACGCGGAACATACACAGAAGGATAAGTTTCCGAGATAGCATTATAATAACCTTATGAAAACACTGACAGTGATTAATAACTAGATCTGCGTACATGGCTGTGTCCAAGGAATGCACATAATAATATAAATATGCGATAAAAATTACAAAACAGAGTCGGTAGGTGGTTCTTGATGAGCGGGTTTCTATCCTGGAAATGGAACGAAAGATTACGAACAGATAGAGGGGTTCGCAATGGAAAACAATAATTATCTCACCATTTTCTTGTTATGGGAGCCGCAGAAGCAGATTTTGCATAAATATAAATATTGCGTGTAATTATGGAGATTTCGAATATAAATCAGAGTGTAGGAAAAAAATGTTCGCCGGAAATGATGTTTACGAATCTAACCACAGAGTTAACCTAACATATACGAAGAAAGGGCGCGGTGTATTAGTATTCTGTTAGCTGTCTCGAGAATGAGTTATGCTGGCAAAACCCTAACCACCATTCAGTTCTGGAATGAGTTATCTAATCCCATACAGACTTACAATGGTGATAGTTATCTTTTGCGTGGGTTATTCATACAATTTTAACAGTTGCGAAGTTTTTTCTTTTAACAGATAATTTGGGACTAACTTTGCTCGTTAAGAGATTTTACGACACTTTAGAAAAATATTTGGAAAGTGCAGTTATTTTTTAAAATTTGTTATAACTCGTTTTTTTTTATGTAAATAATTTGTAGGCACTAAGTTATCACGTTAAGATTTATGAATGTTTGGAAAGTGCAGTGATTTTTTAGATATTATTTTTTGTACTAAGGTTGCGAATTATATGACATTTTCGAAACATATTTTCAAAGACCAGTGAATTTTTAAAAACACTTAATTTGTAGGCACTAACTTTTGGCTATTAAGGACTATTATCGCACTTTCGGAAAATATTTGGAAAGTATAGTCAATTTTTAAAAAGTATTTTATTATTTAGATGTCAAAAGTATTCTATGAAATTGCCATT